TTTCAAGGAGAAATTGAGCAGGAGCCCAAGCCGTATATTAACTGTGTCCACAAAACGGCCATTACAGAGGTTAGTTTTGTTACTGAGAGGTCAGTTTGACCTTTTGTTAACTGACAAAACCACACTGCAAAAACTGGAATATAACTTCATGAGATTGCTTCTAATATTTTTTCCATTTATCTTTATCTTTTTCTCTGTATGGCAGGAGATGAAGGCGGCCAGAGTAGAGCACTGCAACACAATGGGTTACAGTAGTGGAGCCCCGACTCTTCTGGCATCAGTGGGGAAAAAGTGAATACTTGGTTGACTCATTTATTATCTACTGTGACAGCTTTTGGCATTTCTTTGTGCTTTTTGAAGCTATTTTTTATCATCATTTCTAACAAAAAGAGACTTTACTACATTATTGGTAATGTTTTCATAACCTCATAAGTCATCTTTCTGTTGTCAGGATACATTTTTATTACCTTTGAGTGAGATTCATTATGTCACATCTTCAGCAACTTGTGGAAATACATTAGAATTTGTTGTTGTTTTGTTTGTAATAAAGTTTAATTGCTGAACATTCAACCTCTTTTTCCTATTATTTCCAAATCCTGTGAATAAACAAAAGCCAACAACTTCTTTTGTTTTCTTTTAAATCTTTCATCCCCACTGAAGATGTAAAACTTTAACAATGGCTCACGTACACAGTGAATTCATCATTTAATTAAAAAGTTAATTTCATTTCATTGATTTGTTCGTTGTAAGAAAACTACAAAATGTCTCCAGACTTTAAAAAAAACATTGTGTTTCAATTGGTTGTATGTATTTGACAACCTGGGAATAAGAAGAGGCTGTGAAGTATGTAGGAGAAACTACGGTAGCCGGAAAAACTCGCAAGGCCCTATCTACAGCCACTGTTTGGTTTGTCCATTCTGGGCTACTGTAGAAACATGGTGGATCCACGCTGTCTGTAGAAACAAAAACAAAAAAACAACTAATCTTAAGGTAACAAAAACACAACAATTCTTATTTTAACGTGATTATACACTAAGAAAAACCTATGAATACTACATTCTATTTCTGCCTAAATGTTTCTCACTGGACCTTTAAAGTTGTTTGGTTTATGTGACTCATTGCATAAGATAAGAGCAAACAGTTCCATCAACCGTCTCATCTATATACAAAGTAAAAAAAGGCTCATTTCCTTTAAGTGACCTACTTTCCTGTTAATGCAAAAACAAGGGACCCGATGAAGCAGAGCCAAAAGTTCATTCACCCACACATCACCTCTGACCCTTCATTTGTCCCGAGGCCAAAGGCTTTTCTTCACATGAAGGACTTGTTTCCAGGAAATGTATTACTAATCCAAGTTTTTATTGTAATAACATTTATAGATAGGAGTGGGTAGAGCAGCTTCTTCTGTCAAACCCCCCCCTCAAATGTGTTCTGTGTTATGCTTCCAACTGCGTCTCCTGGGGTATTACAGGAACTCGCAAACAATGAGTAAACAGTCAGTGGAGCGGGCCAGTCGATGCGTTTACTTTATCTTCTTACTCATAAGGCCATAATAGGACTTGTTTTGGACGTGAGCATTGATCCTGCAGAGAGAAGAGGGTGTTCACCCTGTCAGACGAGCTCCTCTCCTCACATACTCGGAGAAAAATGGCTGCTTGGCTGCTGTTGCTGGTCTGTGCCGGAGCTGTGCTGTACTCTGCCAATGCCCAGGATCTTTATAATCAGCTCCCTGACGACTATAAGAAGGGAGTGGATCTGGCGTTTGAGCAACTCAACTCTCATGCTGGGGTGCAACACCATTTTCGCTTCTTGAGAAGTCTGGAGAAGTCAGACATTGAGGTAAACCTGTTTGTGATTTTATTAACAGTTCCTGGCCTGAGGAATTAAGGTGTCTATCTCTGCTTATAACATTTTCTGTGTGAGAAGTTGCTAAAGAGAATCATATATATATATATATAGCAGCTTCAGTGAGCATTCATGTAGACAACAACAAATGCTCTCCTGAGAGGTCATTGTGAGATAATAAAAATATCTAACTAAAACTAAACAGACAAACATTTAAATTGTTATCTTGAGTAAGAAAAGTAAATGTAAAAAGCAAAAGAAAAAAGGCTTCTGCTTCAGATTCGTCCCACTTTCAGTTTCCTTTACTCCTTGGATCTGCTCTCTGCCTCGGTTTGGCACACTCACTTTGCCTTCCGGGAATTCAAGCTGATACTTGTTTTCACATCTGCTTCGGGTCAAGTGGACTTTGAATCTTCATGTCTCACCACGTTTTCAGCAGGGCTATGATTTTGCCAAATGAAAGCACTGATAGGTGACATATAGGAGGTGTCTTTGCTGGAAGGCTGCTGGAAGAAGATAAAAAGAAAAAGACATACCCCATCACTTTTATCAGTGTGAACTGCCAGAGTTTGTGTTTTTTTTATATTGAACAAGTTGAGTGATTATCTTGGCAAATCAGCACTGTGTTTTTACTCCTCAGCTCCTACAAGATTATATCATCAGTTATTAAGCAATTAAGACAAATATGAGCTGAAACTATCCAAAGCAGAAACTTTTGCCATCAAGAATTTACACCTGGCAGATAAAATAAACTCATATGGGAAGAGATATTTAGCGGTTTTTTGATATATTTGCTTCCGCTGTGCATTTGCCTTATATTAATAAGAGGGTTTAATAATTAAATTGTTTAAATGTTGAATAATCAGCTTGCATTTGCACAAGGCAACAGTGAAGACTGTTAGATCGAAAAGGCAGGGAGAGGCAAATTAATATGTAACATGATGCCAATAAACTGCCCTTATTTTTTATTTATGTATTTTGCTACAGAAAGTTTCTTTTATCTGTCTTTCTATAAAGACTTTGAGGTTTGATAGTAGATTTAAGGCCTTTAAACAGTACTGTGTCTTCATTAGAGCCAAAACAACACAGACATAAGGCATACATATGAAGCGGTAATTGATTCTCATTGGATAGCTGGTCAAACACCTATTGGATAATGGATCCAATGGTGGGAGTTGCCTGATCAAAACAAAATCAAAGGGCCAAAGATAGACCATATCTTCAAGTTTATGTCAAATCAAGTGCAGCAAACAATAATTTAATAAGACCAAAAAGCTCAACTGAACGCCGGGTTAACTACTATATCACAGCCTCTAGAAGACAAATACTGCGTGGATTGCCATGAACTTTGGTACAAACAATTCTTGATCCTCAGAGGATGAATCTTAGTGACTTTAATGATCACCTGACTTTTCGATACTGTCCTCCAAAGAAGAACAAAAAGCATCCGTCATCTCATTAAGTGCCCCAAAATAACACGTTTACACTCAAGTGACAAAAGCCTCCTAGTGGCTGAAGTAATTATGACAAGCAGGAAGTCAAGTGACATTGTCTCGTTTCCAATCAAGGCTGTTTATGTTGTTATGCTGTTATGACCAGGATCATTCCCTAAATATGTATTTATTATAGTAACCATGGCAACAAAGGCCCTGTGACCTGGAGCACATTTACTCAAGTGAAGGTCAGAGTTTGACGTGAAAGTTGCTGGCCAGCTATGCATTTCTTATTTTCTTTTTTTACGTTAACTATAATGACAAATATGCATTATATATTTCAATTTATGTATTTAAATTAATGTTACCAATTGTAAAATATCAGAAGCATATTATTCATCTCACAAGGGGGGTGGGTTTTATTATTAACCATCTTAAAGATATGGTTGTTTTTTACAACATACACAAACCCAGCACAAAATATATGTAAGTATAGGAAAGGAGGAAGCTCAACTCTTATTGGAGCACAAAGCAAAAAGGGGCAGGACTTAGAAGGGGATTAGATCTAATATGTGGTCTCCCCCTGCCCCCCCCCCCCCGCCTTGATGGGACCCCTGACTGCTTCCACCACTGCCTCCACATCCAACATGTGAAAAAGGTTCAGTGCTTTTCCATTTTCCAACTCAAGCGTGACTTTTTTGCTCACACTGAAATGACCCTCTGCTCTCTTGCAGTCCGGATTCTACGTGCGCTCCCTCTACCACCACTTTTACCTGAAACCCACCAGGTGTGCCAAAGGAACAACTGACTCCAACCCTCAGAGGTGCCCCTTCAGGAATGACAGAGTGAGTAAAGCATTCATTTCCAAATCTAGGTATGGTGATCAAAACGTCAACAGCATCCTCACGCACGTGTTTTCAATTACTTCACAGCCCCTGATGGACTGCGCAGTTTGCTACAAAATGGCCAACAATCAGATAGAATCGAACCCCAAGCCGTACATTCACTGCATCCAGAAACCAAGACTCACAGAGGTATTGTATTCTAACCCATGTCCTGTCTTCTTATCGCCTATTGCTAAAGACTGGAGCCTTATAGACTCCTTATAGAGATTTTAGGACATTAAAACCCCAATGAGTAGTTTTCTATCTTGGCTTTTTCTCCTGAGGTTGTTTCTCCTGCATTGAAGCTCACACTGGTCTGCACCTTGCTGGGTTAGAAATTGGTGTTGATTCCTACGCACAAATGATGCCTTAACCGACATCTGAATGTGTTAACTCTCTTGTTTCAGGACATGAGGACAGCCAGGACATTGCACTGCCAAAAAATGAACTACAACAGTGGAGCTCCTACACTGCTGGCTGTGTCTACTGGCTAAAAAACAAATAAATAGCCTGATGTTTCTAGCATAAAAAAAATGCTTTATAATAGGCGAGTAGCCGAATAATCTGTAGTTAACCTGTTGCATGCTTATTTTACTGGTTAGGGAACTTTGACAGGCTAATTGTTTTAATATTTCTCATCCAGACATCACTTGTACTATAAGAGACAGCAAGTTTGTCAGCGAGTGTCTGTTGGTTATATTTGCCTACAATAATGCTCTCATAAAATCACTGTACCTCACTTTAAGAAGTTAGTTCCTTCTTTGCTTGTAAAGTCACCATCTGCCAGATGTAAAACGATGTAATAAAGAAGAAAGAAATGTATTGGCATTCATCTGTGTTGTGTGAACACTTGTTAGATTCTTTATCTGCCTCCTTCAATGACACTTACTCTGATTCTGCATGCAATGGAAACCATAAAAACAATACTCTTCAACATCACAAAAATGCACAGAAGACATGAAATCGGGTAAGATTACAGTTATTACCGTAATAATTTCATGTCTGACATCTACTTCTTTTCAAAGTGTCTCTGAGTATTTGGCAGTTGGACACGGGAAATAAGGAATCTGTGAGTAACTTTCTACTATAAAGGCAGCTGTGTCAGCACCTTTACAACATTATTAATTATAAAGTTAACATCTGATCAAGTCCCAGCAGGCCAAACACGCCCCATGTAATTGTTGGACCTTATCTTGGATGGCATACAACTAAATCAACAAATCAACAAATGCTATCATGTAAAAGGGTGAGAAAAAAAAACATATTCCCACGTTGTGCCTCTGTTACTTTAGAGACATTTAAGCATTAGCATAAAAATATCCTTAAAGTTTCAAAAGTAAAACAACTCATTTACAGTCTGGCCCTTTTCAGAATAATGTATTTATATTATTAGATTGTAATTATAGTTGCATTAATATGTTACATGTTATATGTTAATTACTTTAACGTTACAGCTGGTAAAGGTGGAGCTAATTTTACACTGCATGGTAGCTTGACATTTTCCTTATCATTATTTATTTGTTGATTATATTTTGCATTCATATTCTGAATCGAAAAAGTAACTAGTTACTAAAGAAATTCTCAAGTAATGTACAACACAAGTGTTTCTGGACATATAATTAAATTATTCTACTGTGTGCAGTCTTGATAGGAACTTCACTGTACATAATTCATACTTTACACAAGGCACAGAGCGTGGGATGTGCAGGGAATCAACAAGACCTTTTTTTTTAAATAAATAAAGCTCCCTGTTACGCAATTACCACTTTCTCTAAAGGTGATGGTAATTGATTGGATAAAATGGAAAGGTCGAAGGAATTAAATTGTATAGCCTGTTCAGATTTCAATGGGTTTAGTAAACTGACTTTAATACTTCATGTCACGCCATATCCTTCCTCATAATTATGCCAGCTTCATGGCCAGCTCAAACATGTTCACTGATTAAAGCTCCTGGAGCACTTTATTGTGCATATTACCCATAGCATAGCCTATTAAGGTCTTCATCACTGATTAATATGTACAAATATTTTATTTCACGTCCATCCATGACATTCCCTCTCTGAAATATGTCACCCTTCAAAAATAATGCTCTTGTCATAAAAGCCTAAACGATGTGATGTGGGGTGACGCTTTTGGGGAATGCATAGTTGGAAGGAGTCAAAAGAGACTAATCCACTAACAGGATGTTCAATTCTCATTAGACATTAGATGTGTATGTTTTCAGCTGCTTTTGGTTGCTCGTAGTGTGATTTAGTGTTTTATAATATTTAATTTTAATACTGTTCTTACAAGTTTTATTCGGTTTTTGTATTACATGTGTGCACATTTTTGATATTTCCTTATATTTATATATAAGTTGTCTTTCATTGACATTTATTGGTGTTAATGTGCCTTTTTACTATTTCAATGTATTTTGTTTGCTAGTGATGTCCCGTGGCCTTAAATCTGTGCAGCACAGTCAACTTGTTTAGATTTGATTTAGTGAAATAGAAGCATGACCCTCCCTCTCTGCCCCCATTCTCTCTCCACCCCCTCCAGAGGGTATAAAAAGAAGAATTTCACTTGTTACACTTCACTCCTTTTCTTCTGCTTGCAGTCTGATTGGGGTGGGACATTCAAGGCCTGTAAGTGTTTTATGTATTTATACTGATGGGTGGATTCATACATTATCATTCATCCTGAAAGATTAATGCATGAAGGAATCATTGTAGTTTATATTTCTTCTTTACATTTTTGAAATTAGGTTTATAATAACTGCATACTGTATGTATAATACAAAAAGGGTTTTTCTTTCTGTTACAGAAAAATGAGCAGGAACTTCTTGTCCAAGAATGACGAGCTCCGCAGGGGAGACTTCCTGCTGTCCAACAATAAGGAGTGGAAGGCTATTTTCCAGGTGAGTAAATTTGAATATTTCTGCTCTTACAACACTAATCAAAGTGCATGATACATGTGTACTGGTCTGTGTAAAAGTAAATGTGTAAGTGTTTGGAAATGCACATTCTGGT